TGAAAGACAAAGGTGTGATAAGGATCAGGTATGACAGTGTTATGGGTATGATACTGATAGAGGTATAATAGGCATAGGGCTATGATAAAGATAAGGGTATGCTAATTGGATGATAGTGTGATAAGGATAGAAGTATCAAAAGAAAAGGAGTATGATAATGATAGAGATATTATGAGGATAGAGGTATGATAAAATAAAGATAGGGGTATTATTAAGAAAATGTGGTATTAAGGAAAGGCGTATGATAAGGATAATGGTATGACGTGGATAGGGGCGTGACAAAGATATGATTGTGATAAAGTATGATAAAGATGGTTGCGATAAAGACAAGGGCCTGATAAGCTCAGGGGTATGACAAGGCTAAGAGTGTAATAAGGATAAAATAGTAATACGGATGGATTTTATAGGTTATTCAATGATTCGAGTGAAATACAGAAAATATTCTTCCCAAGAAGGTATGTACTTCACGATGCGCTAGCAGAGTGAAATACAGACTTTCAAGGGAAGAATGTTTTCTGTATTTCACGAGAAATCATTGAATAATGTTTTTATTCCATGATTACTCAGGTTGAAGAAAAACCTTTCGCCCTTCTTATTTTGAACATAATCATGATATTGTTAATATATAGGGTGGTCCAAAAAAAAGTGAACCCCTGCAACAGGCTACAATTTTCTTAATACATGCATGAATTGGCTCATATTATCACATGTTGTAGAGAAAGGTCTAAAATTTTGGTTGATGCCATAATTTATTCTCAGTTTTAAATTTTGAAAAAATTACAAGCGTTTAACAAACATGCCTGGAAATTAGATATTGTACAAAATTTTACAAATGTGATTCACGGAAATTGTTGAAACACATTGGATGATCTTAAACAGCTTTCAGTTAGAGATACAAGTTTAAAACCCTACCGTATGACAAAAGGGACACTATTCAAGTAGAAAACACATTTCACACTTTCATTGATCATTTTGAAGCATTTTTAACTGTTCAACAGTTCAGGGGTATGTTACCTACACCAACAGTTAGAGGGGGGCCTCTTATGGAAGGAAGTTGCCCCCTGTGACCAGGAATCTGATAACCCCTTCATCAAATATCTTTAAAAAATCAAAAGAAAATCCAATATTCAATGTTTTGAGCCATATATCATTAGAATTGGTCCATGATTTAGGAAGTTATTGACATTTCAAGATCATATAGGGGTATGTTCATGGTTTCACTGGAAAATGTTTTCGTCTGTGGAAGCTTAGCACATCTCTTTGGATCACAATAACTTTGCAACTAACAAATGTAGGATGCTAGTTTTAAGCCATAATGTGCAAGATTTAAAATTGAACAAAGTCAGAAAATATTAGTTCTTTAAGACTGCAGCTTAAAAAATTCTCAGGGGAAAGGCGTTAAAGGGTTGAAGAATCGCGGATATTGAAAATCACAATTTGTCCATTTTCAGTAATGTTTGGTTAGGGCTTATAATTTCTGCAAATTTCAAGACTAGGAAAAATGTATGGTACCAACATAAATTTTAGACCTTCCTCTACATCATGTGAAAATAAAAAATAATTCCTGCAAGTATTAAGGGAAATATGGCCAGTTGCAGGGGTTCACTTTTTTTGGACCACCCTGTACTAGAAGAATGGGCATTATTACTCTAAAACTGTTCTGCAGGGGGTCTTTCGAAGATTGATAAATTAGCATGGGGCTCAATAGTGTTTAACGGCTAAATATATCAAAAATAAGAAATTTTCAGAAATGTACTCGTTTGATTTTTTTAAAAATCAATATATATTAGCTCTAGAAATCGGCAATATTATTTCACTTTAGTAAAGCGATATTGATAGGCATTTATAATGGCAACCAATGGGGAATTTCCAAAATTTAAACGTCATGCTATTGTAACATTCTGGGAATATGGGCTTTATTACTCTAGAACTGTTCTGCAGGGGATCTTTTGAAGATTGATAAATCAACATGGAGATCAATGTAAATATGCAACATTTTCGAGAACTGCTATTATCAAATGGGGAATTTCCCAAATTTAAACGTCATGCTATTGTAACATTCTGGGAATATGGGCTTTATTACTCTAGAACTGTTCTGCAGGGGATCTTTTAAGATTGATAAATCAACATGGAGATCAATGTAAATATGCAACATTTTCGAGAACTGCTATTATCAACTGGGGCCAGTTTTGAACACCACTTTGTTAGATATCAAAAATCTATGTATTAATGACACATAGGTAAAAAATTGTGCTTTATATATAGCAAGTGCAATTCAAGGGTTTTATTGCCTTAACTGGCTCCATTATTTCGGAATATTGGGTTTCAGAAAAATGGGTTTCAGTGTGGGTCTCTGAGTATTTGGATTTCGGAGGAATGGGTTTCGGTGTATTGGGTTTCTGAGAATTTGGATTTCGAATTGGGTTTCCATTGGGTGTCGGATTAATGGGTTCTGGAGTATTTGGGAACTCCGAAATGGGGGATGTATTTTATAGAAATCAATTTTTAACTAGAAATGTTCACAAACGACGTAAAATGTTGCTCACATTGACGTTTTTTCAAGAAGGATATCTTCGGCTGCAACTTTGTTAAAAAGTTTTTTCGCTTACAAGGTTCGATTAAAATATTCCGAATGTAATGGCTGAAATCAATCAACAACTTCCATCTGTTACTAAATACTATGACATCATTGTATAGAGACATTTAATAAGTTATTTAAAGCTGTAACATGTCTTTGTTGGCTATATCTTTACCTTTTCCAACGATGTTTTTTATAACTGACATAATATCGTTTTTAAAGATTCATTTATCTTGTTTCTTCAAACAAACGCATGTCATTCCGACTAGCATATAACTCATTTCCGGAGTCTGTCTGATTGGATTTATCGAACAATCAATCATGACTAGATTGTTTCTCTTGACATGTCTCTGTTTGTAACCGGTTAGATTGCTTTCAATCTTATCTCAAATGTGTTTTAAGAGAGGCGGAAGGTACATGAAAACTAAAATCATATTTTGATAAATAATGTGTCGTTAAGCCTTGGTCACATTTGCTCCGATTTTCACTACGGTGCCCGGCCGATTGAGTATTTTGTATAAAATATTGAACAAAACACTCAATCGACCGGGCGCCGGCCGATGGATCGGAGCAAATGTGACCCAGGCATATCAAAAACGGTAACACCCCAGTCACATTTGTTGTACGGCGACCGTACGTCGACCGCAGATCAATTAAATCAGTGTATTTCTGCAGCGAGCGTAGAAAAACTACGCTCGCCTTGCGGTCTCCGTACGGCGTATCCAGTTTTTTACAGGCCGCAGAGTCGCCGTAGAAATTATAACTCGGAGTTATAATATTTGTTCATTTCTGAGGTCCCCGTAGAAATCAACTGGCTCAACAAGATTGAATCATTATTTGTCAATGTTTCGCGATCACTTTTCATTTGATATTACATCCTAGCACTATGGAGAACATTTATAAATTGTCCCGATGTAAATAAAATGAAAAAAGTATTATTTATCAACAGAAATTTAAAATTCACCGTGCGGCTGCCGTGGGAAATGTGACTGTAAAAGTATGAGAGCGCAGAAATTCCACGGCGAGCGTAGAAATGTTACTGGCCGCAGAAATGATAGACCACAAGGTCGCCGTAGGAAATATGACTGGGGTGTTACGATGACCTTCTAGACTATACGACGTTATACGACGTTGCACACCGACCTGGTTCGACCTGAACGAACTGCGAATGAGATGGACGTATTGAAGACTGTTTATGAACGAAGTAGCTAATTATTTTAGACATTTTAGACATATTTCCCGACCACAGCCAGATTGAGCCCGTTTTACGACTTTTTCGTAGAACTGGCAAGAACGGGTAAGAACTAGTTTGGTGTGATAGGGGGGTTAAACTATATGTACATGATCAGAATTGGTCGCAATAAAGAAATATATATATTAATAGAGAGTAGGACCAACATTTGATAGGACCACCTACCCTACCCTTTTACACTGGTCTGCATAGGGTGAATGTACTGCTTCAATTAATCTGATTGTAAAGTCAATTTAGTCCATTCTATTTGCAAATTGACATAATGAAATGTCTTACTCCACGCTAATTGAGAAGTAGACAGATCTACAATTTCTCTGAGTACTACAAATACTGTACGTTTAATACTTACTTCGTTTTAGTCGGGATTTCTAAGGCTGGTGGAGTGAAGGTGCAATGAGGCAAAAATGTTTCCTTCGTGACGCAAAGTATTAGGTGGAGAACTGTACACAGGCCAAAAAGGGCACCCAGTTTTCCTCAAACGTTTGTAAAGATGATGACATTCGTCAAAAGGGTTATCAATATAACCGAATAGACCTAGTCATAAACCAGCGGAACCCCGTCTCCCCTGTAACAACCATATTGTGTAGAATGCCATCTTTATGAAACATGAAGATAAAATAACAATACATAATGAGCATTTGACGCAAATCAGACACGTTACAATCGAAATATATATCATTTTTCAAAGACAACGGACTAGATTTAATGTATGATAAGTATTACTAATTCCAAAAGATCCGAGTAGGCATACTTCGTGTGCTCGATGGAGTCTCCCAAAAGGTAAATGAGTACCACAAGATACCATACATCCTAGCTCTGTAGATGATTCTGCTGTACCATAGGTGAGTGATAAGCTAAATTTAACAGTTAGTGTCTACGTTTCAAACAAATGACTTATTCACCTGGAAAAGGAACGCATGTTTAAAAATAATTCTTGGGAAGGAACCGGAGTTTGTAAGGGGCCGGAGCAGATCAATGGCATCAAATACTATTTTTAGATATTTCTATTTTAAACAAGCGGCGATGCATCGGTTTATGAATAATAATTGTTTGCTCTGTATTTAGACCATCTTGAATATCTATCAGAAGCCTTCTTCTAAATGTAGTAAAACATTAAAATAGAAAAATACAGAGTGTTGTACGTCTGTGCCTTTATTCAATTGTTATATTTTAATTGGATTGGGCTTCCAATTAAATCCATGCATGTAGAAGGGTAATAGGTTTGTCTATATTGTTTTGTCTAAGATAGTACTAAGGTAGCTTTAAATTAAAAACTATTTTGTGTGAAATGTAATTATATTTATTTGTAAAAAGTCTTGAACTGGTGTCTTCCTAAAATCAAAAGTTTCAATCCCGTGAATCATACGGGACAGTTGTAGAAGCTTATATATTACTTTATGATATAGCTGTATATTCCCATACTTTTATCATGGTATATAAGTGATTTTGTCACTTCCACAGGTATCCTCATTTGACGATCTTTCCAAGGTTATCAATGACTGATATAAGTGATAGCCAAAGAAACGAGTCCATGGTCGACTTGATTCATGTTATCATAGTCTGCAGCCCAAATAATACTTGTCACAAATGACGCCATTACCATGAATTGACATTGTTTAGGATGATTAGGATGAGCAGTCAAGAGAAGTAACATTTCAAATTGCTTGCTGTCATTGTACCATTGGTGATCAGAACGACTTCTTTGTGCTGTATATGTCAAAAGTAATCACGAAAGGAAAGGAGTTCGTTTGAAAACACATGATTTTATTAGATCCTGCGTTTCGACAATCAATATGCTCATTGCGATTACTCTACATGAGATCGTTTCGTTGATTCAAAATCAAACTCTAGGGTATCACTCTGAGGTATAATAGGATATAGCTACATGGGTCACAGGATAATGCCATTCGATTTGATGTCGTTTAAATTGACAACAGGATATTTTTTCTTATACTCCACTATTTTACATTCAACCTTTGCAGCACGACCAGTGTTGATTTTCTTTTTTCGTTCAATAGTATTTTTAGCTTTTGTTTCAGCATATGTCTCCTTGAATGCATTGTCAGTCTGGTTACTTTCATGTTTCATTTTTTTCATTACGGTAGCCGTTGCTCTTGCCTGATTTACCAGAATCGTGAATTCCGATTTCCTTGCGTGTACAGCGGGACGCCGAGACCGAGATCTTGTTCGTGGTGATTGCTCAGATTCATTATTTATATCATAGTCGTTATTGTTTTCATAAGCAGCATTTTCCAGATTTGAATTAAAGTCAATTCGTGTACATGCATCTGGGCTCAGGACCTGTGAGCTTTTTGTCCTCCTGAGCTCTGAAGAGGAAGAATTTGCAGAACCTGTTTTTATATAACTAGAAAATGGGCGCTGTGGAATATTCAAATCTGACTTAATCTTGCTCCATGCTGACTTGGTCGATCCACGCGGCCCAAGTCCTCGCCTTGCCATAGATTCGGCTGGTGTTATGACACTCTCTCTCCTTGTGTTTAAAAGTCCATTCGCGAATGCATTGATTGAACTGTCTGCAGTTTTAGCCATGTTCCATTCATTACTAAGTCTTTGGCCAGGTGACGACACTGGCCGTCGATCTGCCTCAATCTTTCTCTCTGTAAAATCCTCAATGTCACTATCAATACTAGCAACCTCTTCACTTGAATATCCCTGCTGATTTGACTCCAATGATAAAACCACAGCGCTATCGGTGTCTGTATTTCGCCTGGCAGATAAACGCTCCTGAGCAAGAATTGACGTTTTTCTAGATCTGCCGACTCTGCGACTCCCTACCCGCTCGCCATATTGAAAAATTGTTGGTTTCTCTCCGGGCAATTCATAACTCTCATCAGGGGCTAGACCCAGTGGGCTGACGCCACTGCTGTGATGAATGTATGTCAATTGATTGTTTAATCGTCGTATGTCTCTATTTGCAAGATTAATGTGACCGATTCTTTCCTTGTCCATAAGTACTACTCTCTTCTTCAGACGCATACCCTCGATTGTGTTGATCTTCTGCGCCCTACGGACCCTCAAAGAGTTATAATTTGGAGCTTCCTTTGTACCAGGCATTTTGAACAATATCCTTAACTTTTGTACTTTTTAATGCTCTTGATGTTCTTGATAAGGACATGTAATCAACCTGGAATGATAATTTTAGGATAAAGTCGACACAACCAACATTTTTTGAAGTTTTGAAACGTTGAATATTGTGTTAATACTTTGAGTTTCAAAATTTTATAAATTCAAATTGTTCGTTAAACACTCCATTAATGTATTTATCAATAAACCCCAAAGCTCATTTCGACATAATCATGAAGAATATTTATAAATAAGTTAAAGTAGTTTTCAAGTACTTACCATTGACCATGGCCTGTAGTATATCAACACGACCTTTATTACTGCGAATATCCACTGCTTCAGATGTTGCTATTATTTCAAAGACTTTATCTCTTGGAACAACAATCATTTGTGTAAGTGTTTTGAAACTTTTGGAATAAAACTTCATGAAATTGATTTTTCTTCCCAGCATACATTTTGAAGAGTCATTAAGACATCAAGTTGATAAATGGACGTGATTCTTGCCTTTTGACAAGTGTTAATTCGTTATTTATTCTATACGTACCCTATACGTATAATAAAAACACTCTGTATTGTTGAACCTGTTATCATAATATATTCATGAATTATTTTCTCAATGTAACTTGATGTTGATCTCCAACGATCTGTTATGTATCGTGTAATCCAAAACAGTATAGTGTTATTTTAAACAATTTTCTTTAGACTTTCTTGAACGTATTCCTTTTTGCCAAATGTTTACTACATATTTGACTTCAATGAAGGACCAATGGACGGGTTTAATAGTGAGGTGAATAAAAGAACACATACGGGTCAATAGCGAAAGCAGCGCCTCAAAACTTAATCAATTCCGTGCCATTGAAGATACCAATATACTTATGATTATACCACAATGATTTATAGAAAATTATTTGTAGTATTTTACGAGATTACCAGCTTAAACCAATATGTAGTCATCACTACAAATCCTTGTTAAAACGACAAACATGTAATTCTACTTTAATCTGTTTAGTTGGACATACATATGCTATGATGTTTTCAATAGTAAGTCCCCGATAATCAGTTGATGCATTTGACAGTGAGTGATATGCAGTCGTGATAAGATAAATCTATCAAGTATGTCGGAAAATTTACGATACATGCACCACACATGCATATTCTTCCCAGGTATTAATAAACAAATGTTTCAAACCTGTCAACTTTGATAATCTAGTTCAAAATGGATTGTTTATATAGAAGTGCAGTCAGATTACCTTTGTAAGGTATTCAAGCGTTCAAGTGCAGTCTGTCAAGTGGACTTATCGTTGACTATAATTGTGTAAATCGGATTCATTTTCAAAATCAAAAAGTCAAAATTATAAAATGGTTACACAGGCATTAAGTACACATTAAAGTACACATTAAAGAAGTACTTTTAAGGATTTTTCAATGTCATAATCGTGAAGGAATTGACACGACGAATACAATGTTGACATAATGCGATTATGATTTCTGAATTTCTTTGACATCAGTTTTCTGTTCCTGTAATCGTTAATACTGAGAAACAAGGACAACATCTCAGTCAAAAGATTGTTAGTAAATATAGCCGATATGTGTATTTCAAATCCGTAAATTGCCAACAACGCAACTTACATATTCAATGAAAAAAAGATGTCACTACTTTTGTAAACTTTTATCCCTAACCTGTTACTGGTGCTCAAGGATTATATACTTATAAGGGAGTTTAAGCTTGCATTTACAATCGAAATGCCAACCTGACCAATCGCCCATGTACATGCATCGCTTAAACAATTCCCGTTCACGTTTAGGTTGTGAAAAACAGTGCATGCTTAAACTCCTTATTTTATATTCGGGTTGTATCCATTTATAGGATCTAGGTGATATCTGTTAAGAATTAAGTACAATGGAGAAATCTGAGCTCTACCCAGTCTCAACCTTAAATTTTAAAAAGCTCAAGAAGAAAACATTATAGTGGCAATTCGATTTTGACCAATGAGACGATGAAATTAGATCATTACTGGAGACTTGAAGTTAAACGTCAATAGCTATCAGCAGTAGGTGTAAAAAGTGTGCTTCTAATTACTCAGATGCGAGTAGGTAGTTACCAGTTTCGCCACCAGGTGGCTGATTCGGGGGAAATAACATGGCAGGGTATTACAAAATTCCCTTAAACCTGAATATTCATCAGTTTTAGTGGTCCACTTTTCATATTACCCTTATGTATGTGATAGACATACCAATTAGAATATGTCCAGTAAAAGAAAATACAGGGTGTTCAAAAAAAACGCAACCCGAAGAAATCGCTATATCTTGAAAAATACTGGTTCAATTATGTTCATATTTTCAGGAAATAAAGAAGAGACTGTGTATGTACAGCCCCTGCTGTTACTTAGTTGTAAAATATGATATCTTGGACACTTGCTCAAAAGACAGTTGTACTAGCAAAATACGAAAACCGTGAATGGAAAATCACTATATCTTGGAAAATACTAATTCAATTATGTTCATTTTTTCAGGAAAAGAAAGAAGAGACTGTGTATGTATAGCTCCTGTTGTCAGTAAGTTGTAAAACATGATGCCTTGGACACCTGCTCAAATGACAGATGTACTAGGAAAATATGAAAACGCAGTCAGAGGTGACTGCCTCAGCAATAAAACTAAATAACTTTCTAACCATGGTGTTTTGGCACTTCAGATTTGGCACAAATTATCCTCATTCAATGTGTGATGAATTTGTGGAGTTTCATCAAAATCACCCAAGGGACTTTACAGTCATGGTCAAAATGGCTTCTTCAGTCTCCCTGAACCAGGGCGTTTGACTGCGATTTGAAAGCATTTCAACCATAACTGTAAAGTCCCTGAAGTGATTTTGATTTCACCTTACAGATTTACCATACAGTGAATGAAGATGATTTGTGCCAAATTTGAAGAGCCAAAACACTATGGTAAGAAGTTATTTAATTTTTTTGCGGTTGCAGTCACCCCTGACTGTATTTTTCGTATTTTCCTAGTACAACTGTCTTTTGAGCAATTGTCCAAGGCATCATGTTTTACAACTAACCATTTACAGGAGCTGTACATACACAGTCTCTTCTTTATTTCCTGAAAATATGAACATAATTGAACCAGTATTTTTCAAGATACAGCGATTTCTTCGGGTTGCGTTTTTTTTGAACACCCTGTATTATCTGCCCAACACAAGAAAAGATATTTCACTTTTTGTGGATTTACAACATGGGGTCTATGGGGAATCTCCCCGACCTAGAAGTCACATTTTCAAAGAAAATTAAATTTCAAAAGTTGATAAACTCTTTTCAAAACCACATTTCTAGATGTAACTTTACATGTAGATTCCAAATATGACATCAGTTTGACCGAATTTTTGATGACGTAAATCAAGATTATTTCTACTCGCATCTAGGATATTGAAAACACCTAGGGAGTGAGACAACATCATAGAGGTGATGAATTAAATGTTGAGCAATACTAGCTATGTTGACAGATTGACATTTGTCAGATTAATACATAAAGCGAACACTCCATTTCTTCAATTAATGTTAAGCTCTCATTTTCTTTTATTAAAAGTTAAAATGCCAAAGTGGATCATCAAATCTTAGAAGGGAAATGGATCAATTTTAAATAATTTTGATTTTGAATTTCATAATCTACAAAATATTGAAGCGGCACGAAAATATAGCTGAGTGGTACGTAGTGTGGGAACTCGATGCGCGAATGGATAAGTAAGATCAAAAGAGAGGAACTGGTGGTTCGCGACTAAGGACCAATATATGCGTTGTGAGAACGTGGTCCGGGTGGAAGGGACGTTGTCAGCGAGGTGGGAACCGATGATCGTGTGAGTCGAAGTCTTGGAGCCTGCATTCGGGGCTTCGCTGCATTATAATTGTTCTTTTATCATATCCAAATCTATATTAAATCAAATTTGAGAACGTAAGATGACATTTACGCATTGACAGTCCATTGTTAATCTGCGATACACAAAATAGAAAACATGCAAAAGCTAACTAGTATTCTAACAACAATAATCTATGTTGCCTCATCACGAACTGCAACGGAATGTTATAACAAAGAGTACCCATACCCCCTCCTGGTTAAGGAGCTTTAATCTACTTAACTGATTAATTCTATAGATGACCAAAAATTGACTTATCGTGTTTAGTAGAAAAACACTAGAGACATTTTACATGTTTCGATTACTATATGACCCCTTGATATTTATAATCATGCTCCAGGCGCAGAATGTTAAATCCTGTTATATGTGAAATGACTTTAAATTCATATTTTGCATTTTTATTATTGCATTGAACTAACCGATTTCCTTGTGTTTACTTTTGGAATGTGATTATGGAATGTACCTTGCAAATGAAGTAGGTGGTAGAAAAAAGAATGAGTGACTTAGAAAATGTACTAGAAACACTTATATTAATGAACTGCTATTTGGTAACATGCATTAATTATGTGTTTGTGAAATAAAAGGAAACATTCACAAAAAGTCACTATATAATATATCAAATACGAAAGGTGGGGCTTTGTTGGCACATTTCGTAATATGCTATAAAAGCAAAATATTATATACTTTATAGAGAAGTCATATACATGCATGTGCATTTATAACATTCCATATGGAATGTAGAAATCGCATATTATAGAAGTGCTGTAGCTATGAACAGTTGTCGTTAAAGAATATTCGAACGGAACGTTAATCATCATGCGACTGGACTACTCTATAAGACTTTAGACTCATTTTAACATTGAGCTTGCCATTATAAATTTTATAGCAAGATTATATCCATGTCGATCGGCATATTTGGTCAGTTCTTCTCAAGAACAAGAGTATAATTATTTTTAACTGTAACAAACTGACTAATCAATTCAATAATGAAGAGTAATACAATGATAAAACAAACGCATTGTTTGAGAAGTCTATTTGTAAATACTATGCAGGTTTATTTAGCGAAACGTTTGAGGATTGTTGTTGTAATTACAATAATTATTGGATAGCATATTAAATAGTTATCATAGCTAATACAAAATGTTTTTCCATACAATGTTAGTTATTGTCATCACTGGTAAGGGGGGGGGGGGGGGGGGGGGGGGGGGGGCGAGGGGGTGCATCATGGGGAGACATAATATGATACTTACATTTTTCGTGAATTAATGAAATATCGATAAAGGTTTTCGAGTGTTCAGTAGATCGTTTCTTTAGCGTTAAGAAATAGTCAGCTAAGGATAAAGTGCATGAGTGTTTCGTTTCCATTTCCACAGGAGAGACGATTTGGAGAGTCGATCACCCTGATGGAAAGTAAATGCGAATTCAGTAGCGTAGGGCGGTATCTAAATTGCGCGTGAATTATAGGCCTGTTAACTTTGAGATCCCCCCAATAATAATGTCTGTTTAATTTAAATTTGAAAAAATTGAAAGGGGTTTTGTCTTTAATTGCCTTTGGAAGATCGTTCAACGTCCTCATGATTGAGGGTACTAAAGAGGTC